TTGTTTTTTTTATACAACTTAGAATGGCAATGAAACTGACGGCCCACCTGATGGAAAATGGGGACCATCGCCTTTATTCAAATAGACTTGTTTACAAGCACTTTTAAATCGTCATTTTTTTTAATCTACTGCAGGATTCGGAACGTCGTTATCTGTTGAGAAGAGCCCGCAAGAAATTCACCAGTTACTCTTTTAATTTTCTGTTAACATTATGTGTATTTATTTAAATGTTAAATGGGCTGGTCACATAGCTCGAAGAACTGACAACCGATGGGGAAGAAAGGCTCTTGAGTGGCGACCGCGTACGGGCAAACGCAGTGTAGGACGACCCCCCACTAGATGGAGTGACGACCTGAGATGCATTGCAGGGAGTCAGTGGATGCAGGTGGCTCAGGACCGTTCTTTATGGCAGTCTACAGGGAGGCTTATGTCCAGCAGTGGACGGCTAATGGTTGAAATGATGATGTCTAAAATTACATGGTTGTTAAAAGCCCATGCATGATGCACCATGCACGCTTGTCATTCAACATGGACTATAATGGGAAATTGGGAAACCTCATAGGACTTGGCCAAGTTTTATGCTTACTTTCTTAGTCGGTTATCACTTAAAACTTTTAACTTCGATACACTATCGATCTTATATTTATAGTCTCTCTTGCACGCTCTCTACCACATACATTTTTGATGCCCAACTTGAGTCGGCTCCCAAGAAACTTGCCGGCGAAAATTGTCCGAACAATTTTATTTTTCTCTTTGCCGAATTATTTGGAACGTTTTGTTCCATCGAGAACATATTACACGTTTGGGAAATATAGGGGACTTAATTATTCATCAGTTTAAAGATGGATGCTTCACGCGACAACGGTTAGTAATGTAGTCTGAAATAAGTGTATTGAATGTTTGATGGCGGTATACACACACATACACATATCTTTATATATATATATATATAGATATCTTTATATATATGCCATAATTTACTAGAGGGAGACTTTGTACAAAAGTCGATTGCTTGGGTACCTCTATCCCATTCGTGTTTCAACCGTGAAGCAGCTGTGTTTCAGTTTGAAGGGTGGGATATGGCGTGAATTTACTGGGTACAGAGGAATAACACCTGAGTCCTCAGGAATGGTAATGCATGAGGGGTATCATGGGCGAAACAGTATACTGCTCATGTTTATAGGCGACGGTTACCACTTTCCATCAGGTGGACCGTTAGCTTATTTGCCATTCTAAATTGTATAAAAAAAAAAGCACATTACAAGATATAATATACAATGGCGGACTTGTCATAGAGAGAGCTCTTACAGTCTACCTTTTTTTTAAATTATAATTGAAGCTACTGTATACACTTTAAAGAAAACTATAGAATGTTCAAGGATAAAAACCATACAGGTAAACTCAAAATTAAACATAATGTATTATTTAATTTGTACACAAAAAAATAACTGTATACACCTACATAAATAACAATAATACATAAATAAACACACACACACACACACACACACACACACACACATATATATAAACAACACTTACATAAATAAATACATGTAATTATTTTTGTTATTTTAGAATTTTCTCTTGTCGGGACCACTAACTGATGTATTCTCTTTCAGCCAGCTCTATTCCAGGCCATATTTTTTACTTATACTTAACAATAATAGGCTCAATGTGGTCGAATCCACGACAAGAAGCTAGTTTTTTTATAACCGAAAATAACCTTCATCTTATCGCAATATATTTTCCTCTTCACGAGTAACATTTTCATTAGTTACGGACTTGACCTTTATAATACTCGAAGTACAATGGCAGGTCTGAATTGAATGGTGATATTACATGAGAAAGCTTTCAATAGTCACTCATACATAGTCAAGGTTTCATTTCATTCATCCATACTAATAAAAAAAATTTAAAAGTGAATCTGTTTGTAGATATAGGCAATATTGATACCGATCCAGTATATTGAATGGATTTCTCTAAAACATTGATGGCGGAAAAATGATCATCACCCATTTCGATATCATCTATATGAGAAGGAAGAGATTATGCCTCCAGGGTGTGAGTTTACAGCGCTACAACATCATCGTCATCATTTCAGCCATTATCCGTCCACTGCTGGTCATAAGCCTCCCCCATTAGACTGCCCTGAAGAACGGTCCTGCGCCACCAGTATTCTTAGACTCCCTATAATGCATTTCAGGTCGTCACTCCATCTAGTGGGGTGTCGTCCTACTCCGCGTTTACCCGTAGACGCTACAACATAGACACTGAGAATATACAGTAATATCTATATATTTTAGTTTTTTTTTATACAACTTAGAATGGCAAACAAGCTGACGGCCCACCTGATGGAAAGTGATAATCGTCGCCTACAGACATGAGCAGTACCATGGACATAACGGACTACTGTTTCGCTCATGATACCCCCCATGCGTTGCCATTCATGAGGACTCGGGTGTTATTCCTCTGTACCCAGTAAATTCACGCCATATCCCACCCTTCAAACACAGCCATGCAAACACAACTGCTTAACGGTTGAAACACGATTGGAACAAAGGTACTCAAGCAATTGACTTTTGTACAAAGTCTCCCTCTGGTTATTATATTGTGTCGTATTAAGAGGTGAAGAGCTGAAAATCGTATTATTAGCTGTTATAAGTTGTATAAAAAAATAAATATAGAAGTGAGTTTGTTTGTTTGTTACTTCTTAGCACATTAACGGCTGAACCGATCACTGTGAAATTTAGCAAAATGTGAGATGAAAAAGAACATAGGTTACTTTTTATCCCAGTAAGTGGGCATTTCCCGGTTACGTAGACGAAGTCATGGGTAAAAGTTAGTATTATTATAAACCGAGCCACGTCTTAATAATATGTAAATAATTTCATACAACCCTCAAATATTAATTCAAAACCAACACTTTCCCTTGAAACTGTTCGTTGGTGTTAATTCTATCAATTTACAAATCAATTAAACATCGTTAACTCCAAACGCCGCCGCTTTATTGCAATTTGAACTCTAGAATATTAATTTAAATATCATTTTCCTCTAGCGATTATTACAAAGGTGAGTTACTAATCGATTCCTCAGATTCCACTGTTCATTCCCTTTTTGATGTTTCAATTAGCGATGGGACGAAACAGGTCGATTCGAATACTGATTCGAATACTCACTAAGTACTCAGGTATACATATAGTATTTCAGATACACGTTATTCGAATACAGGTATCGAATCCTTGTAGTATTTGAATACTAGTCGCATGTTTATTGCATGTTTTTAACCAGCTTCAAAAAAGAAGGATGTTCTCGAATCAGTTGTATTTTATTATAATTATTACGTCAGAACTCCGTCATTTATAAATCAAGTTAGAAAAATCTTTTTAACTGAAAACTATTTAAGGTTTAGATTGGATCTGCAGAAATTAAAGCAAAATATATTCTTTCTTTAATGTAACTATTTTTTTTTTGTGAAATAAAAACTATCATGATTTTTCTGTTTTTGAATTAATATTTTTTTTGACATCTTATCGTAAATACTTTAGACATTCGATTATATAATTGCGTTTTTACACTCGAATTCGGATTCGATTATATTTTTTGCAAATACCAAAATTACTCGAATATCAAAATGGCCAATTTGGCACATCACTAGTTTCATCTCGATATCGATATCGGATGAAATGAAAGCCTTTTCAAGTTCCCCCGAATGAAACAATCGAGTTTTATTGAATTGTTGCTATCGATCAAAACGCTGAGACGGTTTTTTCGGTATTGAAAAAGTTATTCGGTGATCGTCAAAGCTATTATGGAAGATTAATTTGCATCTCCTGCGAAAACAGACTGATAAAGAGATAGAATTTCATTTTTATTAAAGAAAAAAAAACCGTACATTCTTTACGAATTATTTGTTTTTATCTTTTTTTTTGCAACTTAGAATGGAAAACAAGCTGACGGCCCACCTGATGGTACGTAGTAGCAGTACCATGGACATAACAGAGTATACTGTTTCGCCCATGATACCCCCATGTGTTGAATTCCTGAGGACTCAGATGTTATTCCTCTGTACCCTGTAAATTCACGCCATATCCCACCCTTCAAACCGAAACATAGCCATGCAAACACAACTGCTTTACGGTTGAAACACGAATGGGACAGAGGTACTCAAGCAATCGACTTTTGTACAAAGTCTCCCTCTGAGAATAACTCTATCTATCTATCAATTTATTTGCCATTTTGAGCTGCATAAAAAATTCAAAGTTTCAAAGTATCTAGAAAGCAGATATAAAAAAAGAAAATCTACACGTTTTAAATATTTCAATTATTTAACAAAAAAATAAACAATCAAGTAAAATATTTGTTGAAAATATCAAAGCAATTAGATCGTAGATTTGTAACAGGCATTACTGCAAAACACACAATTTTCAATAACTGTGGCCTTGTGTTCGATATATTTCCCTCCAAAAATATTGCGGTGAAAAAGTCCCTTTCAGTGTTCTATAAATAAACTAGAGGAAGCCGAGAGAGCTCTTTAAAGAATATTTGGGAGCAACAAAAATATATATTATTATAATAATGACAGCAGAGGCAATAGCCGGTATTTATAATAATTATTAATTAAGATTTTTTATAATTAAACCGTAGGTCTCGTATGAGGCGACTAAGGGAGGGCTAGGGATGGGCAGCAGCGTCTCTCTTTAAACATCTCCAAAGCCTAACTGCCAGGTTGCTAATCTGCATATCAAGCGTGGCAACTACTGGTAATCCTATCTAGGGGTGGTTTATGTCCAGCAGTGGACAATTAACCCTTCTTTGCATAATGGTGGAAATTTCCATCATAACATTAAACGCCCAAAAATTATATAAAAGAACAAGTTCACTTTAAGTTGATCGTGTCTGGATACCTTTTTAATGTCCATTGCTTATAATTAATATATAATAATGTGTGTATATATATATATATATATATATATATATATACATACATATATACACATACATATATACACATACATATATACACATACATAAATAATACCGTCATATTCAAAATACCTCCCTTTTGAAGCTAAATGAACGGCAACACACGAATAGTACCGTAAACATGTCAGTGTATTCTCAACTGTCCATAGTACTGTTCATGTATACAGGCTACCACTCACCACTCACCGTCAGCGATGCTATTCTATAAAATTTCACACTTCGTTACCCAATCAATTTCACATTCACTTCATCTAACTTTCGTATTCTGTAAGCGTGAGCAGTGACAGGTGAAGTGAAATTAGTTTCGAAAATTAAGGTGAATTCCTAAAGTTTGCAACACACCTACCTCAGTTCACTACGCCGTCGCCTTAACGAAATGGCCCTGTCATCGGTCTTATTTATTTGTAGAACACCAAATGTAAATCACTAGTGAATTTGCTAGTGAAATTTGAGATTGACTTTACAAAATATCAGTACAAATGCGCTTGTAGTGTTTACAAGCCCATTTGTAATAAAAACTCACTAGTGAATTTGCTAGTGAAATTTGAGATTGATTTTACAGAATATCAGTACAAAAGCGCTTGTAGTGTTTACAAGTCCAGTTGTAGTAAAAACTTACTAGTGAATTTGCTAGTGAAATTTGAGATTTTACAGAATAATACTACAATCTTGTAATCACTATAAGTCCATTTGTAATGCCTTTCTGCAAAAAAAAATCCATAAATTATAACCATCTTATTCATAATATTTAAAGAATTTGTCTTACAAAAATAACCGACATCAATTGTGACAAAAATCAGTTGTTTTGATTTAAAAACCAAACAACTGAAGCGATTATGATGAAATTTCTATGGAACCAATCTGTGAGTATATCCGTTCAAACTAAAAATCAGTTTAGAGCTGATGAAGTTTCAGAACTCAGTTAGCTCATGAAAAAAAACTACGCTACTGAATAGAGAACCTTCGTATTTTTGAAATCGGTTCAAAACGTTAAAGTCTCATAAATCTATTTTATCTACTGAAGTGTTTTGTCTTTTTCTTTCCTGCTAAATTCCCTGTTTGATAGAAAATGGTAAAATGTAACAGCTAAAATGGACTTGTAGAACATTTTAGTTTTTATGAATAAGAGGTTATTCTGTAAAACTTCTTTCGCATAAACAAAATTATGTTTCTAGAACAATCTCCTCCTGCCTGGAACAGGATGCGTGGGCTCTAAGAAGGTCGGCTGAGGTGGACTTGACACAGTTGTTCATGTGTATGTCAGATGATACGTTGGAATGGTGATGCTCGCGACGTGGACGGTGACAGCACCGGCGGCCGAAGTCTCCGCAGAGCGACCTGGTGATGAGAAATAAATAAATGAGTATACCAATAGGAGACTGTATGATAGTTGGTAAGTAATCATTTATGTAGATACAACATTTGTTTTCTGTGAGTTTGCATGCGTGAATTTTTTACATAGACTTGTGTACACAAAATGTTTGTATAGCGCGGGGATTAAACTCGTGACCTTCGTAAAGTGAGACAGTGTGTTAAACTACATCACCAAGATCGTCAATAAATATAAAGAACTTTGGTCCATTTGTGTCCCAAAAAGTCATTTAAATCCGTTCAGCTACTTAAGCGTGTTTGAATAACAAACATCCGAACATCTTTTATAATACACAGTAGCTAATTCATTACGTTGGTTATCAACAAATATCTCTGATTGTTCCATCAAAGATTACAGTTCTAAACATGTTAATTTTAATTTATACTGCGGTGCACGAAAAATATTAGAGAAAATTAAATATGAAAGAATAAACAAAAGGTAATATTAGAGAAAAAGATGATATGAGTACTGAGTACATTATTTGATTTTAATGTATATTACAGTGCACAAAACATATTTTAAGAAATTGAAATATGGAAGAACAAACAAAAAGTAATAAAGAATGAGATAAATTATTCAATATTGTATTATATTTTTTACAAAACAGTTGGTACGGGGCACATGGGAAATACTTTTTATGATTAAAAAAAATAATCACGCGTTAATAAGTTCTTTTTCTAAACCACTGAAGTGGCAAACAAGTATTCGGCTCACCTGATGGTAAGCGGCAACCGTAGCCTGAGAACACTTACAATACTATGGGGCATTACCCGCACATTACCGACTCTGAAGAAACTTCTCTATTCCTTTTTTTGTTTTGAAGAACGCCATACTGTAGTTTCTTGGAAAAACCTCGACAGGGAGCTTATTCCATAACCTGGGTATTCGTGGGAGGAAACATTTATGAAACTGCGTTGTGCATCTAGGCTCTAAGGCATGGGAGTGAACTCCCTTAAGTTGGCAAGCTCTACTGAACTGTAACTATGTGTATTGAATGGTATGAAAGACATTTTATATTATATTTAACGAAAGAGTGAAACCAATCGAAAACCACAAGTGAAATCCGAAACTAAAAACAGAAAAATGAAATCAAAAATTAAAACTACAAGTCAAATACGAAAGTGAACATTAAAATCCAAAAACTAAGACAAAAAACACAAATTGTATACATTGTTCGAAGAAGCCTCGAGTAGAACTAACTACCTTACAGTAGTAAACATAAGGTAGTACTTTACTGCATGATCGTTTATGACTTTTCTGGGGTTTCTAGAGATAGTCGGATTAGGTATCATTGTATCTTTGCTTTGCTTTGCACAATTGATTACGAATCCTTACAAAATATAATTTCGATAGGCCGCTATTATGTGGGATAATCGTTTCCAGGTTAGTAATGAGATATCGCCAAATCAACTTACATGACGTGTGGAATCAAAATCACTACCATTCTTTTAAGAAGGTGTTCAACCTATAAAACAACTTCTTTTTCCAAAGAAACGTGAAAGAATTGACGCCCTTTAATTTATTGCAGGGATGAAGTCAGTGGATGAAGGTGGCTCAGGACTGTTCTTTATGGCAGTCTTTACCAGAGGGAGACTTTGTACAAAAGTCGTTTGCTTGGGTACCTCTGTCCCATTCGTGTTTCAACCGCGAAGCAGTTGTGTTTACATGGCTGTGTTTCAGTTTGAAGGGTGGGATATGACAGTGAATTTACAGGGTACAGAGGAATAACACCAGAATTCTTAGGAATGGCAACGCATGGGGTGTATCATGGGCGAAACAGTATACTCGTGTTATGTCCATGGTACTACTCATGTCTATAAGCGACGGTTACCACTTCCCATCAGATGGGCCCTCAGCTTGTTTGCCATACTAAGTTGCATAAAAAAAGCAAAGATATCATTCTGTATTCTTGTGCACGTTTATCGTTCGTTATAAAGAGGTCTTTACATCCTTATATATAGACCTTCTTATAGTAAAAGTTAATCTGCTATAAGGGGAAACAAGTATTCTTATCTGCTAATGCGGTGCTAATGAATGGGATTGCTTTAAGGATAAATTTGTGCATGCTCCATTTAATCAAATCAGATAAGGGATAAGTACAGGTCAATGGTAGAGAGTGAATGGTCCGAGATTAATGGAAATGGAGAAATCTCAAAACATTAAATTCACTGTATAGATTCCATCGACATCAAAGAAGGAAGATCTCAATTAGGTTGTATTTATTTAAGTTTCATCATTATTATAACAGCCTGCCCACTGCTATTATATATATTATATAAGAATAAGTATCCCTTTTGGGATATAATAAAAATAATAATCTCATAATTTCCAACAAAATCAAAGTCGGATAAGAATAACGTAAAAGGGAATGAGAAAAATGCGAAGAAAATTCAAAACAAAGGCAATTCAGCACAAATACATTCGGGTAATTTATCTTAACTTTAATATCACGAATATTTTTGGGTAATCATTCAAACTTGAGTATTTGGAAATTCTTGATCTGCTAAAAGTGAATTTAGATAAAACAAAGGAGACCAAATAAGACACTAAACTAGGAAAAGAGTAAGGACTATGGTACGACATACAAAATCGTTAGTAAATACAGTTAAGAAAGGAACCTTAGAATGCTCTTAGAGTACTCTTTGTTTGCTCTTAGTGCTCTTAAAATACTTTTGGAATGCTCATAGTATAGTCTTAAATTCGTTTTAGAATACTCTTAGCGTTCTCTTAGATGCTCTTCTAGAGCTCATAGAATACTCTTGGAATGCTCTTAGAATATTCATAAAATAGTTTTAGAATTCTCTCAAAATGCTCCTAAAATATTCTCAGAATGCTCTTAGTATGTTCTTAGCATGTCTTTAAAGTTCTTTTAGAATACCCTTAGAGTTATATTAGACGCTCTTAAAATGCTCTTATCGTGCTCATAAAATATTTCTGGAATTCTTTTAGAGTACCCATAAAATAGTCTGTGAATGCTGTTAAACTGCTAACAGAATACTCTTAAAATGCTCAAAGAATACTCATAGAATAATCTTAAAATGCTCAAAGAATGCTCATAGAATACTTTTAACAGTTTCTCATAGTTTCTTATAATTTACACTAAACAAATATTGGATATTAATGGAAGAACGAGGATTCACACTTTTGGTCTAATTAAAACATTCAAAATTTAAGGAACCATCTCACTTTAGGAATGAATGGGTTAGCCAAAAGTTTATCACCTGCATAATCAAAAGAAGACGTTACTTATGTGATTTTCCAATATTTTCCAAAATTTTTGGATACATTTATAGTCATTGTGTCGTGTTACTTTGTTCCCAGCTGATTAATACTCTACAAAACAAAAACGGTCAATTAGTGTCATTATACAACATTCAAAGTTTTAAGGTTGGATTGTATTTTCAAAAAATTACAAATAATACTCGTATATCAAAAGTGCTTCAGAGAGGTTTTTTATTCATCTATTTAGATATCCAAAATATAAAAAAATAAAATTTATTTACTATATTATTTTTTTTAATAAATCATTGAATACAAGTACGAGAAAGACTTTTAATAATAGTTTCACTAAATATTTCTCTCTCTCTCAATTGTTCAGTTGTTTAGTAGTATTGTAAGAACAAAATTTATTATTGTTATCCGACTTATAAGTACTTACCTAATAGCACAGGTAATTTAAAACTTTGAAGTTTATTAATTTGTTAACTGCTTATAATTTTCCAATAAATTTGTGTATCGTTTCTCATTACTTATTAAAGAATGATCGGTTTCCCAGTATTTCAAAGATTAACAGGAAACTTTTGAAAAGGAATTGAATTTTCACAATTATTATCAAATATTATTAAATAGCGTTTATCAATTTGCATAAATAAATTATTAACATGATACATACAAATAAAATATATAAACAAAAGTTTTTAAATGACAATAAAATGTCTATCGAAATCTGTTGCGTGGTTTGGAAGAAGTAAGCGGAGAATTAGACAGACGCGGGTAATGTCTTTGTTTCATACTATTTAGAGACTATAGATGTTAATTACATATACGTTTTTAATGTTACAGAACAGAAAATAGATAAGAAGCTAGTGGAAAATATAAAAACAGTGGCAAATAAAAGAGAATGACAGAAAGTGCTTAAGTCTCACCGGCAGCACGAACCCAATGTTTTCCTGAATGCAGCTCTGAAGTCTCTGTTGAAGTACGCGTAGATCAAGGGATTGAGGGCCGAATTGAAGTAGCCCACCCAGAAGACTCCAGCTACGACTGGTGGTGGAGAGGGGCACGCATCCCCGCATAACGCCGTGATGATATACCTAACAAAAAAAAAATTGTATACAGTTTGAAATAGTTAACAAGATATTCTATCTGATAGTAACCGTTGCCTATAAACATGAATAGGTCCGTGGAACTACAAAATACACTGTAACCCCTATTGTTTCCCTCAAGCGTTGTCGTTACTGGTACCTAACAGGCTAGGCCTCAGTACTCTGTAACTATAAATTCACTACTATTTACCACACTTTACCAAAACTGAAACAGCTTCTTGGTGGCGAAAGGATAAGTCGAGCAAATATATCATCGTTATGGCAAAGAAATGATTGGGTCATATAGCTGGAAGAACCGATAAGCGATGTGAAAGAAAGGTTCTTGATTGGCGACCCTGTAGAAGCAAACACAATAAGTGGGATACCGCACTAGACGGAGCGATGGTTTTTTTTTACAACACAGAGGGCAAACTAGCATGCGGCTCACCTGGTAGTAAATGACTACCGCCGCCCATGATCACCCACAACACTAAAGGCATTGCAGGTGTGCTGCCGGTCTTTTAAAAAGGAATATGTTCTTTTCTTGAAAGTTATGTTGTCGTATCGGTTCGGAAATACTGCTGCTGGAAGTTGATTCCAAAGAGTGGTTGTGCGTGGAAGGAAGTGCCTTGAAAAACGTACGGTGGAGGACCGCCACTCGTCCAGATGGTTGGGATGAAATGATTTCAAAAGTATTGCAAGAAGTCAATAGATGCAGGTGGCTCAGGACAGTTTTATAATTAAGAGACGCAGACAATAATGATAATATAATTATAATAACTTACCATAAGAAAAATGGTAGCCAACACGCCAAGAAAGCTGACATGATGATTCCTAATGTCCTGGCCGCCTTCCTCTCTCTTTTCATCTTACTGCTGGCCATAGGCTGCATCTGTATACTCTGTCGCTCTCTCATCACCTCCCCCATGGAGATACCATTGATTTGAAGGTGCTTATCGAGTAACAACGCTGCTACCTTACTCCTGTGATAGAAAACAATATGTTAAGATTTCTTATATAATACCATTTAGAAATGGGCATTACATAATAGAAAAGATCCATCCCAAAGATCCCAAAAGAAATCCGTCTTTAATTATGACAAAACCAAATTCTGTGAGACTAATCTGTAACTATATTGTTATGTATTAGTAGTAATAGTTTTTTTTTTAACAGATAATGGAATGGTAACCCCACCCGCGCTATCGGTATACACCGGCGGGCAACCAGTGAAGGATGATAGGTGAGGATGAAGTAGGTCAGTTAGCCCATCGTGACGAATTCAACAAGAATTATTCACAATGGTTTCCAGGGGGAACCACGTGGAGGCATATTGCTGGCAATGGGGCTGTCAAACTCCATTGCTAACAATACCTTTCCCCCCAGTAGAATTAGTTAAGAATGTGTGAGTGGTTGCATCCACTATATATATGATTTACTTGTCGATAATAAACCAGTGTGCTACAAACCCATTCTCCCACTGTTAGATAGGCGTATACGGGCACGTGATGCGACAAGTCGTTTGTAGCTAATACATAACATATATCCTTTCAGATATAAAAAAAAAAAAAAACTGTCAGAGTTATGAGGTAACAATAATGAAAATAAATACAATCGAAATGAAAAACTCCTTCTTTTCGAATTCAATTAAAAATAAAAGAATGCCAATAGAGACACACATTGTAAAAAAGAAATGCATAAATACTAAACGAGAATGACCTATAAAGATCTGTTATTATATTATATAACTAGTTTTTACCACTGACTTCGTTCGCGTGACCGGAATATGCACACTGATCGATATAAAGCAGCCTACGTTCTTTTCCATCCCATTTAGCGCATTTATACCAAATTTCATAGTGTCGGCCTAAAACTGGTAAAATAATTTAACAGTTTTAGGCCGGCATAACTTCGAGATGATTCAGGTTCATAGGTTATTATAGTTTACCTAAATAATCGCGTTAGTTTCCGTCTCTTGTTAACCATAAAACATGCAGCGTGAACGTCTAAAAGTTAATATATAAGGCTTTTGTAATGATTTTAAAACTGTTTAATTCAAATAAACTCATTTCATTTCATTTACTTTCAATTTGTTTTATTTCTTTTTATTTCGTTTCATTTCATTTCATTTCACGAATTCACGGAAATTTATTACTCGTGTAGACATTTCACTAAGTAAGTGACCATGTACAAAATTCATTTGCTCCTACCACTATTCCATTCGTTTACTGTCGTGAAGCAACTTTGCATTGCGATGTTTTGGTTGGAGGTTGGGATATGGGAGTGAAATTACACGATACGGAGGCAGGACTAGTACCGCATTAGGGACACCAGGTGTTGACGGTTTTATTAGGTGGGCCGTCACATTGTTTAATATTTCAAGTGGTTTTTTTTAAGTAGTGTACCTAACACTTGACTCCTATTACCAAATTAAGATATTTCAGTTACTGCTAAGTATAACCTGTTTAATGTACTTCGCTCAATTAATATTAATTATAAATATATTATTTATATTTATTATATTTTTTTTATACAACTTAGAATGGCAAACAAGCTGACGGCCTACCTGATGGAAAGTGGTAACCATCGCCTATAGACATGAGCAGTACCATGGACATAACAGTATATGCATTTTGGAAACAAAATGTAAATTATGGATGACTAATACATACTGTACCTCCTAATGGCAAATACCAAGACAAAATGCACCCCAGTTCTTTGACTTGGGACCACTCCTTATGGTAGTCAATGGGGGAGAGGTCTATGTTCAGCAGCAGCCAGTAAATGGCCGATATGATGATGATGAATCCGTACTATTCAAACTAATGGGACGTCTTTCTTTTTTTTTTCAAATTATCTGAGCATGTCTCCTTATGAAATTTAATAATTTAACAATAAAACAATAAAAAATCTGTTATTTTGATTTCTAAACTAAACTTTGAATCGATTTTAATAGAATTTCTATGAGACCGATCTGAAAGTATATCCTTTCAGTTAAAAAAAAAATAGTTTTCTAAATCGATTATAAACGACGGAGTTCTGAGGTAACAACCAAAAAAAAAAATACAACCGAATTGAGAGCCTAGTTTTTTATTTCGAAGTGTATTGATAAAGAAACCTTTTTAACTTAGCTGTATAATACTTAATTTATAAATTGTTATTCCAATAAAAAGTTATATCAAAGGCAAGTACCCATGTTTATTAATTATGCTAAGTAGAAAAACAGATTAACATCTCATTATTTGGATTTCATAATTTTGAGCGAACTGTGTACCGTTTTATTGAATCAGGAGAACACTCTTGGTACGAAATTTGTTAAAAACAAGGGAGCTTTAATAAACTTTATTTTCGACGATATGTCGTTTAATGTAATTCTTGGTTGGCATAACATTTATAATAATATCTATTCTATAAAGAGTACTTTCTGATAATATTAGTATAGTTTACTAGAGAGAGACTTTGTATAAAAGTCGTTTGCTTGGGCACCTCTGTTCTATTCGTGTTTCTACCGTAAAGCAGTTGTGTTTGCATAGCCGTGTTTCGGTTTAAAAGGTGAGATATGGTAGTGAATTTACAGGGTACAGAGGAATAACACTATGAGTATAGTTTACTAGAGAGAGACTTTGTATAAAAGTCGTTTGCTTGGGCACTTCTGTCCTATTCGTGTTTCTACCGTGAAGCAGTTGTGTTTGCATAGTTGTGTTTCAGTTTGAAGAGTGGGATATGGCGTGAATTTACAGGGTACAGAGGAATAACGCCTGAGTCTTCAGGAATGACAACGCATGGCGGGGGGTACCATGGGCGAAACAGTACACTCTGTTATGTACATGGTACTTCTCATGTCTATAGGTGACGGTTATCGCTTTCCATCAGGTGGGCCGTCAACTTAACTGCCATTTTAAGTTGCATAAAAAAAATATAATCGAAGATGGTTTCCAATTTATATTCAGAGCTATTAGGCGCGCGTTGCCGACCCTGAAGAAACCTCTTTACCCTTAATTTTTTTATAAGACCAATCTAAAAGTATATCTTTTCAGATAAAAAATAATAATTTTCCATATCGGTTTGTAAATGACGAAGTTATAAGGTAATACACATTAAAAAAAATTGAAAACCTCCTTGTTTTTGAAGTGATTTGAAAATATGATTAATTACGAAACAAAATCTATTTATATGTGTACACATATCGCACAATTTCGCATACGAAATTCAAATATTATGAATCTATTACTACATATTATATAGTTTACTTAGTTTATCGCTAAGTTTCATTCGTCTATAAATACATGCAATAAAACTATTAACTGAACGTTATCTGTACATATGAAATATTCAAGAACAATTGATATGAAAAAAAAATAATAGAACAATATTTATTATATATGTACCTATATTAAGAGGAAGAGGAAGACCGAGGATTAACTACATGGGACAGATAAAGGAAACACTAGGCGTCATGTCATATAGGGAGATAAAGGATATGGCCTGGGATAGAGCTGGCTGGAGGAAGATGCATGAATTAGTTGCACCGACAAGAGGAAACTCTTAAATGAAAATGAATGACCTATATTATATTTCATATTTTCTTTTTAACATATTATGCTTATTATCGTATTTACTATTTATCTATACATTCTATGTATCTCATATATGTTTTATATTATATACAAACCTAACAGTAATATTTGTCTTATTGTTGCTTGTTATTTAATTTAATTGTTGCGCGCAGCACTCTTTGTATAGGCTTTTACAAAGACCAGCGTCGGTGAGCCGTAAGGACTGCCTGATTGCTCAGCAGCCAGATATCGATAGATATTTAATGACAAAATAGATATATTTTTAAAATGTTGTTTAAAATTTTTAAGTTCGTTTAAATAAACCTATCACACAAAAAAAACATTAATGATCAGTCATATTCATTATCGTACCCAACCCAAAGGTCCCCATGACACTTGCTGTATTTCCGCGTTGGATTGCTAGAGATGTCCTATAATAAATAAATAAATCTCGTTTTTTTTTTAATGGATGATAATAGAATGGTAACCCCACCCGCGCTATCGGTATACACCGGCGGGGCACCAGTGAAGGATGATAGGTGAGGATGAAGTAGGTCAGTTAGCCCATCGTGACGAATTCAACATGAATTGTTCACAATGGTTTCCAGGGGGAACCACGTGGAGGTCGACCTAATAAGGCATATTGCTAGCAATGGGGCTGTCAAACTTCATTGCTAACAATCCCTTTCCCCCCAATAAATCTCGGTTATGCAGGCGAAGTCACGGGTAAAAACTTGTATGTACATAAATTGAATACTAATATTTGCTCTTCATATTGATTGAACATATCTCAAACCAATTAGTGACTTGATATGGGTTACGTTTGAACCTACACACACGTATGTACATGTGTTGGTAGACACCTACACATATTGGGAACACCTTAACTCTTTGTGGTTTATTGAATTTGGTATTGGCAGCCATTTGTTCTCAAGTCTTTATTTGTTATTTGGGTGGGTGTTGGAAGATTATGCTGGTAATTACACTTTATCTTTCTGTCAATGTTTTTTCTATAGAAAATAATTTGAATCTACGATCTCATTAATTTGGAAATAAGTACAACATGTAGATAAACGGACAAACAGAAATAAATACTATATAATAGAATTTAATAGAAAGAAAAGAAAGAAAAATAATTTCTTTAGTGTTATACATAGACATTACTAGAGGGAGACTATACAAAAGTCGATTGCTTGGGTACCTCTGTCGCATTCGTGTTTCAATCGTGAAGCAGTTGTGTTTGCATGGCTGTGTTTCGGTTTGAAGGGTGGGATATGGCGTGAATTTACTGGGTACAGAGGAATAACACCTGAGTCCTCAGGAATGGCAACGCATGGGGCGTATTATGGGCGAAACAGTACACTCTGTTATGTCCATGGTACTGCTTATATCTATAGGCGACGGTTACCACTTTCCATCAGGTGGACCGT